TGAAATAATGTTCACTTTTGAAATTAAGATTTCAATATGGATGAAACTATGGTTTTAGTTTTGAAGTATTATCAGCAGCTATCAAAATAATTATTTAAATCACTTTTGAAATTATAATTTCAATAATTATCTAAATCTTCATTTTAGGAGAGAAGATACAAATAAAATATGGATGCCTGGATTGGTATATATCTTTGGTCTGATTTTATTGATTTTTTATGCAAATAATAAATTTCTAGAATATAAAGAAATTGTAAACCTTCTGTATGTTAAAAATTTTGCCTCACTAAAACCATTCTTATTAATGTATACACTTTAATTATTAATTCATATATTTTTCAACCCAAATATAATTTTTGTGAAATTTTGGATAAAAAATTAAAAATTACGCGGTGAAACTTTTCTTTTGATATTGGTCGTATTTCAATAGCGGTTGAACTCTATGGTAATCATATTGAAAAGCACTCTTCCCCACTATTAAATAATTATTTCAATAGTGCTCGTATTTTAATAGTGGTTGAAATCTATGGTTATCATATTGAAATGCACTCTCAACCACCATTGAAGTAATTATTTCAAAAGTGGTCGTATTTCAATAGTGGTTTATATCTATGTTTGTTATTGAAATACACTCTCAACCACTATTGATATAATTATTTCAACAGTGGTCGTATTTCAATAGTGGTTATTACCTATGTTTGTTATTGAAATGCACTCTCACCCACTATTGAAATAATTATTTCAATAGTGGTCGTATTTCAATAGTGGTTACTAACTATGCTTGCTATTGAAATACACTTTCAACCACTATTGATATAATTATTTCAATAGCGGTCGTATTTCAATAGTGGTTATTAACTATGTTTGCTATTGAAATGCACTCTCAACCACTATTGATATAATTATATCAATAGTGGTCGTATTTCAATAGTGGTTGCAACAGCCCTCATTGCTCACCGTACGTCTAGTTTTTATATCTGTCACTAAAATGATAATTTCGATAAAAGAAGATAAGTAATGCACTACATGTATGTATAATTAGGGCTTGTGCACATGCTAGCCTTTTAAGGAGCAGATGTATCCCAATGTTGTGTTGAGATACCCTAAAATCTTGAAAATAAGCCGCGGCTTATTTTAAGTTTTGGTAAGAAAGTGGGGGCTTATTTTCAGGACCGGCTTATTTTCAAATTGCGGCTTATTATCAATGCAAAAACCTGGTAAGAGAAGAGAGCACTCTTGTATTCATTGGCGTTTCCCGATGTACGTTCTTTAGGATCGTCTACTTTATATTCTGAGAATGCCGATCCCGAAAAGTTAATTTCATTGTATACAGCATATGAATTTACATGAAATATAAACTTGTTTTTAAAAAGTAAAAATAATATAAAAGATATCCGCTTGCAACTGAATTACTTGATAAATTATAATCAAACAAACACATATTTAAACAACTCAATTACATGTATACGGTACATTGAAATGTAATTACTACCAAGCCCTGCCGATCAGCAGGTTTCGATCTTGCCTCGGGCAGTATTACCTGGCAGTTAAATGCTTTACAAACAAAAACTTCCTTTTATCCATTTACTTATTTAATTATTACCACCTTTTAACACATCGTTAGCTTGCACAGGTCTAGATGAGATAATTATTGTTCTGACAATTTCATGAAAAAATCACCATTTTAGCTGGTTCCGCAATGAAGTTTTTTTAGCCAGCGTAACATGATTACTGGTTAAAAGAATTAACTTTATAAACAACCCTTTATTTAGTAATTTTACATACGTTCATTAGTAGCAGTCGTATGCAGATATTGGTAAAGGTTAAATGAATTAAAGAAAGATAATTTTTAATTTTGCACAGTAGATAAATATCGTCAAAGTTTTCACTCGTCAAATTTTTAAGACGAGGAAATCGTCAAACGTTTAACATCTTTCCTAAATGGCATTGTCATGACCGGCTTATTTTCAAAACTGGCTTATTTTCGAGTAATTTTTAATGCAAGAAATAGGTGGCTTATTTTCAAAACCGGCTTATTATTAAATCCGTCTTATTTTCAAGATTTTAGGGTAGAAGGTTTGCAGTTGCACTGATACATGTAAATGACTTACTCCACCTGTTTTATACATAACTATACATGATATCAAAGTACGTCGTAATTAATATCGATATACTGTAAATCACTTTTTATTCGCGAGAACTTTATTTCCGCGTAATTACGCGAGACAGTGTGCTCGCGAAAATTTAATTCTCGCGTATAATAGTATTCCTTAAGATTATGCAGAGCAAAAACCGCAATTCGCGAAAATTTTGTCTCGCTAATCAAGAGTCGATGACTATCTCGCGAAAATAAGGTGTCGCGAAAATTAAGTGATCTACAGTAATACATGTAGATGTCCATGATTTCATTGATTTGATGGAAAGAATTCTATTTTCAGTGGTTTGTTATTGAGTTATTTGACTCTTAAAGAATTACAGAGAAGAGGCGGAAAGCTGAACTGGTTACTATTCTACTTCCATAGAAACTGGAGGTGAGGATATAGTCATATTTATAATGACATATATATTTTACCTCCGCTTCAAAAGTGGAAGGGTATATAGTAATCGGTATGTCCGTCCGTCTATACGTCCGTCTGTTATGCTTTGGGGTACCAATCTCTTATCCGCAACTCCTCTCATACAATTGATTTAACATATATTTTGGATTTTCCAGAGCAAAACATGGATATTGCCATGATTCATATTGGAGGCCGCGGGGGTACCGGGTATTGTTTAGTGAGCTCATTGCTCACCGTACCTCTAGTTCTATTTCAACCCTGTAATATCTATTTAGCTGCATTTACAATATGATTGAGTACTTTAAAAACAGTTGTGTACTGCATAGTATTGAAGAAGAATAGACTTCTCAGCAAACTGGAGTAAATATGATGAAGTGCATAATTATCGGAATATGCCAGATCGATAATTATGTTTCAGACATTAAGTACTTGTGCCTGATCTAGTAAGAAACTGCTGTCGATCAAAGGTGCAAAATACCATCAATCAATGTAATGTGTTTATTTTATATTAAATGTGTATTCTTTGTTTATAAAACTTATTAATTAAATATAACTGACTTTATCTTAGCAGCTTTTAACAAAAAAATAATTATTCTACATTGATTTCCTGGAAAAAAAATTGCATAAAGAAGTAAACAAGTCCTGTTATTTAGGTTGACCCCTACCTTTATGCTGTTTATCCTGGTGTACACGGCCTACTTCCAGTATTGGGGGTCGGGACCTCTCTGGCCCCTGACGTCTCCCGACTACCAGAAGTGTAAGGATTACTGGTGGAGGAATCTTCTGTATATTCAGAACTTCTTCCCCGTCAGTGAAGAGGTAAACTTGAATTGAGACATCTGATTAGAACTCTCCTAACTGGGGCACAATTTGTGATCTGTTGCTGGCATAGGCACTTAGGGTATTACACCCCCCCTCCTTTCCATGTTTTTCTTTGTAATCCTTTGGTTCGAGTCACCTTCGTCTAAGATGGTGCACATGAACAACATTATCCTAGATGGGGGTGATTTCATCGAAATATTTACAAATTGGGGGCACATTGAATTAAAAGGAAATATGAAAAGGAAGTGGAATGTATAAGAAATTTATTAATGTATGTATGTACCCCATCTTCATTCTGGTTTAGATAAATAATCGAGCGAAATTGAAGCGAGGTGAGGCGGATGACGAGAAAAGAGTTACAAGTCTTCTCTCTTTATATGTACATGTTTCAGTCGAAAACAATATATTAAAAACCAATTTGTAGAGACAAAAGAGTTTCATTTTTGATAAAATATAGTGCAAAAAGAATGAAAAAAGTAGAACCCCAAGTGCCTATGGTTGCTGGATGGTATACAGTATAATGTTGATATACATACTAATTGTTATTCCATTATTTGCCCTGAATTGACGACGGATTTTCCGTTATTTCCCGATCATGACAAAGAGCATACGGCGGGTGTGACCGGTCAGTAGTAGATACTCACTCTTTCATGGCATCTGATCCAATCTCTGATGTTTCGGACATCCGTGTTTGCTCTGCTCCTATTTTATATTGTTTTATGGACTTTGATATTGAATACTGTTCGTTATCTCCATATTCGACCCTACTAATGTTATTTTGATTTAAATTCAAGATACGTGGTTTAGGTTTACCTATTCAAAGGTTATAGGGTAGAACCGGTTTTATAAATAGAATTGGCAGTAAACAGGAAATTGCTATAGTCTGTTTTTTCTGAAAACATGTCCTGTCAGAAATGTGTCTCCAGACCTTTCTGAAAGACTCATGATTTTCAACAGAAATGGGTGACAAAAGGGGGGAGAAATTAATACATCTTATCATAGTTTACTGCAAAAATTACAGCTCAATAGCGACCGATACGCTGGTAAAACAAAATGTGTACATATCATCTACACTCGTCTGACAAACCTTTGTTTGCCTTATATGGCTATTGCTATTAATGCGCACAGAGGATCTTACCACGAGCAATTGACCAATTGTTGATTGAATACGTTTACGCCAAATACATATTTACATGTTACTTCGAACACGTGGTTCAGGTCAATCTATTTTCATGTCAATGGAGTGCAAAAGAAAAAAAAAAATGTTCTTCTGAACAAAATGCAAATATTAGAAACTATGAAAGATATCACAGGCGTTTTTAAATTTTGTTAACTAGAGAAAAAAATATGTTTTATAAAATGTATACGTAGTAAGTGTTTAGTTCAGAACACCAGCACTTCAAGGGTAAGGAAAACGAGCAGCTTCTCGTATGCATTTAAATGGACAAAACATTAGTTATAATACATAAGTATACTCGTGATCACGTGTGTTGGCCAGGGAATCTTCCTGACAGTTGTATTTACCGAAAGTACAATAAAGAAATTTATCAAGCGTAAAATTCCTGTAGTATTCGTAGTAACCCATAATGCAATTCTCATTCAGCTGATTTGTCAGTTAAAGTCACATTGGTGCCTCATTTGCTAATCTGACGCCAAAAAATATAGTCCCGGTTCCCATGCAAAATATTTGTCCAAAAAGAATTTTTAATTCATGGCAGGAGAAAATTGTATCATAGAGAATACTTTTAATTTAAACTTGAATGAATTCAAGAGAGATCTATTGAGGTAAATTTCTACAGAATGATATTATAGGGTGGTGAAAACTAAAACGCAACATAACTTTTCTGTTTACCATGTATCCACGTGCTAGTCACTTCCCAGCCACATTTCCGTGAATAATTTACCCTATCTCGCTGAAGTCTCACTAACTCTCGCCAGAGCCACTGTCAGAGCTACTCTGAACTCATCGGGTTTTATCATTTACAGAACACCGAAAAAGAAAAGGTTTCGAATACATTAGTAGGGGTGATATTCTTCTTCATGCCACGTTTATGATATTTATACCCCCGCTTGAAAAGTAGGAGAGTATACTGTAATCGATATGTCCGTCCTTCTGTACATCTAGCTGTCTGTACGTCCATCCGTCAGTCTGTCTGTTACGCTTTGGGGTACCCATCTCTTATCCGCAATTCCTCTTACACCATTCTGTGAAATTTAATGAAATTTTTCACAGAATCTTTTTTACAAATTGCCATTGTGCAACTTCTATTTTACTTTTTAATCCGACACATATTCTTGGCTTCCCGGCCACAGCAAAACATGGACTTTGTCATTATAACCATATGGAAAGCTGGGGTATCATTTAGTAAGCTCATTGCTCACAGTACCTCTTGTTTGGACCAAATTCGGAATTCATTACTTCGTGTTGTCCATATGCTCTACAACATAACTCGTTTAGTACGGACATGGACATTGCGAATTTACAAGATCTGATGTAAAGAAGTCATATTGGATCACCAGTTTTATAACGAATCCTATATACGGATATAATGAATTCCGGATATAGCGAAGTAATTTCACATGTCCCTGTGACCTCGTTATAACTGATTTTCACTGTATATTGTTTGTGAAAATTGATGAAAGTCTATTCCATTTTCTAATATATATATAGAATTGATAATTTTTATATTCTTTTTACTGTACATAAACAATGTATACTCTGCAATAATTGCTTTAACAAAATATGACCCCATGCATATATGTTTGCTATCTTAATTTTTAGTGCATTGGTTGGAGTTGGTACCTTGCAAATGACATGCAGTTTTTTATAATTTCACCATTTATAATATACCCCCTGTACAGGTATGTGTTGTACTGTTATTTTTCTCGTGAACCTTATGCAGAAAAAACATGTTTATAGCAAAGATGCTTATTATGAATTAATATACGCTTATTATGAAATGATTTTTATACCCCATGACTCAATTTAAATAAATATATACATGAAGTGCATAATTTTTGTAGTCTTCTTGAATATACGTAGGATCTCCCATAATTTGTAGTTAGTTGTGCTTTTTATCCAACGAGTTGTGTGTTGTTTTTAAAAACACACAACAAGTTGGATAAAAATCATATCCAACTACAAATCATGGGGTATTCTTATTATCTCAGGTTTGATACTTATTTTACTTCATTACACTTGTAACGTCACGAATATGGGATAAAAAACTATATAAAATGAGCTATATCCACTGGAA